CCGAGCGGGGGAGATTCAGCGAGTCTTCGCATGTTCAGTCTGCGACAACATGCAGATGAACATCTGGAGCGATCCGTCGTCGGAATTCGTATGCAGTGCATGCGGAGAGCTCCACCCCTTCGTGGCTGCAGTGCATGCCTACGATCAGCCAAGCGCCAGTGGCGCTGTGGGACAGTTTTCCCACGAGCGTCGCAGCAAGGCCTGGCAGTGTCCAGAATGCGGCGTGATGCATTGCACACGCTGCGCGAAAAACTACTCTTGCCCAGGCACTGTCCCGCGGACAGACGGCAAGCTCGAGTACAGGGGCGAGCGCCGCCCTACTAGGGGGCCGCCCGAGTCCCTTCGGCTGACCTTGCACGAAGCCCGTGAGCGCGAGCACCGCGAACGGGAGGCCCGCCGCAGAGACGGCAAGGGCAAAGGCAAAGGCAAGGACCAGAGGTCCCGCCGTGACGACGAGGACCGGGACCAGTGGTCCCGTGGTCGCTGGTCTTGGGACCACGACCGGCGCTGGAACCATCGCGAATGGTAGATACGTCAGCGGCGTAATCCAGTGCATTCCGAACAGTGTTCGGATAAAATTTTTGACGGGCCAGTGGCCCTTCCGTCTGCGCCCGTTTCACACAGGTGCAGAGCACAGCAGTGCCGGCACAGTCCGGCCACAAGAGCCTTCGCCGCTCACCGGCCTGTCTGCGGATCGCAGAAGGCAGGTGCAGCGCACCTCGACAACCGGGCTCCGCCCAGAAACTCGCACCGCGAGGTTGGTAAAAAGAACACCGCAGGTTGCGTGTGCACACAGACCTTGTAGGACTGCAGCTTCTTTCGCCTAGTAGGTTTCTTTTGCCTAGTAGGTTTTTACGCAGTGCCCCGAGACCTGGTAGGTCCTCAGGAGGTAACTCTAGGTGCAGTGTCACCATCAGAGCCTGAGCTCTTCAGTGCGTGCTTGCCGCAGCCTTTTAAGCCTCACTCTTCCCAGCTCTCTTTTCCTCCTCTCCTCCCTCAGGACTGCATGGGGAGGGTGCGGGTCGCAGCGCGTCGCTTGAGTAGAGCTTTCCAGAGTGAGTGCACTTGTGTTCGTGTGCTGGTAGCCTTTTCCTGAAAGCCACCTGGACAACAGCCGTTGGCTTGAGCAGTGCTCCCCTTCCTTGTGTCAAGGATGCTGCCCAGGGGCAGCGCCCCAGAGGGCGACTTCAACGACCAGGTTTGTAACCTTTGGTCGTCCATACCACGCCGAGCCGGTGCTCGTCAGCCGTGGGAATCAGCTTCATGGTTTGCGCGTAATGCAAGCTGGCCCTGGGAGCTGTCAGTGACTCGCCCCGCCTCCGTGGGCCCCGTGCCAGTGTTGCACGAGTCAAGCCTGATGCTTAAGCGGAAAGCTTCCGCTAGCACCCAGCCGCTAGTAGCGGAAGACATGGCCTTCGCACTTAAGGTCTGCTCCCGTCGTACAGCGTACGAAGGCGACCGCCGCGACAGCGCGGTTTTCAAACTGACGGCCTTGGTAAAAGCCTGGCCAGAGGCCTTCGAGATCGTCTCACAGTGTGCTGACGAAGCCGGTTGCGTCGACCTGGACGAGCTCGACTTCAGCATAGAGGCAGCGCTCAGCTACAAAGCCACCAATACAGTGGTTCGTCGCCTAAACTCCCTCAGCAATTTTGTCCAGTGGGCAAACTCCCAAGACCCAGTGGTGGTGCCCTTCCCAGTGTCAGAGCGCGCCACCTGGCGATACATCCAGTGGATGATGAGAAATGGGAAGGGGGCTAGCAGCCCCTCGAGCCTGATTCAGAGTCTGAACTGGTGCTTGGGAGTTTTCGGTCTTTCCTTCGAGTCGGAGGTGACCAGCTCCCGTATCGTGGGCCTTTGTAAGAGCACGGAAGCCAGCGCGCCTCCGCCGAGACGGGCCCCCGCCCTTAAGGCCTCGGAGGTAGCTACCCTCGAGCGCATCGCGCTGTCTGGCTCTGTGTACGACAGTGTCGTGTCTGGGGGCTTGTTGTTCATGCTCTTTGCATGCGCCCGTGCCAGTGACGCGGCCCGAGTTGCCTCCTTTTCGGTTGAGCTTCCAGAGTACCCCTGCGCCACAGTGTGGATGCAGGCGAATGTTCACAAAGCGAAAACCGCCGTAGGGGCTAGAAGTCGTCTACTGCGCCCGCTGGTAGCCCCGGTGGTTTTCTTCGAAGAGTCGTGGGTGAGTCAGTGGCTCGCAAATCGAGAAAAGTTGGGCCTCAGCTCCAGCGGAGAAATCCCGCTCGGGTCAGTGATCCCTGCCTTCACATCGGATGGTGATCTAGCAGATCGCCCGATGAATTCTCAAGAGATAACTTCCTGGCTGCGCAGCGCGCTGTCGAACGCCGGCTGCGAAGACGCAGAGCGCCTTAGCAGTCACAGTCTCAAAGCGACTTGCCTCACATGGGCCTCGCAAGCTGGCGTCAACCTGGATCTGCGCAGGCTCCTCGCCCACCATGTGCACGACAGTGCTCGGAGCACCGAGACGTACAGCCGTAACGTGCTCATCCCCGCAGCGCGGGCTCTGGAGGAAGTTCTCATTGCCATCAGAGATGGCGACTTCCTTCCCGACCAGCCGCTCGGGAAACAATTCGCGCTGCCAAGCAGCCAGCCCAACCTGAGGCGAGAGAACCTTAGCAAGGTTTCTCACAGGAAAACCTCCTCTGGCTCGGCACCCCCAGTGGGGGTGGAAGCCCTGAAGGTTTCGCAACAACAGGAGCTCAGTGACACAGAGGACAGTGCCAGTGACACTGACAGGGAAGACGAGTTCGTCGCCGAGCCCGAGGTAGAGGAGCACCCTCGCCTCAGAAGGGAGGTGCAGTGCACTCTCCCAGACTGGGCCTTTTCGTGGTGTCATCTTGCCAGTGGCAAGCTCCACGCGAGTCGCGGTGAGAATGCCAAGAGGCTTCTCTGCGGTCGCTGTTTGAATGAAAAGTATAAGAGTTGCGAAGTTCGCGACCTGGCCCCGGGCCGACCGCACTGCAAGACTTGCTGGAGCAGCAAGTCTTTCGATGCAGAGTGAAAAGAGAGCGAGTTCATGTGCCTGTCTGTCCTAGTAGGGTCCCGCAGTCTGCACAGTGTTTGCGTCTCTCTCTCTCTCTCTCTCTCTCTCTGTTTTCTTCTCTTGCCCTGCAGGACAATGGCGAACCTCGTCGACAGTGTCGCGGAATTCTCCAGCAGAGCTGGACAACTCCGAGGAGCCGCCGAGTCGGCGAAGCTCCTTGCGGCAGATATCCGCACTTTCGGCACGCTCGCTTACAGCGTCGCCGACCAACCCGATCGCATCAGCGATGCGAAGTTTGAAGAACTCATCAAGAAGGTCTTCGGGGCGGCAGAGCCGACCTTAGGCACCAAGGCCGCAGCGCGGCGCCTGGCCTTCGAAAGCCTCACCTTCAGTATCCAGGATCTGAAGATGAGGGTCGAGGGTGACAGCGTCACCCCCAAGAGCTTGCCCCTGCACGAGCGCGAGGAGCGCCGAGCCGCGCAAGTCGCGCGCCTCAAGGGCGTCGTCATCGAAGGTGACTACTTGGAAAGTCGGTGTTGGTTATATTCAAATGTCCCACATGGCCTGGATAGTATGCCAACTTATATGTCGACCAAGTGACCGGATATCTTGTCTATGTACCCGGTTAAGTGATGTGCATGTGATGCAAGCTGTATAGGGAGGTTAGCAACCAGAAAGGGTCCAAGTATATGTTGCGGCCAACCAATTGGCCATATATGGTTCGGTTATCTATGTAGTTGAGTCACTTATGTATAAGTGACCAAGCCAGCTTAGGCAACTTAACAGTATGTTAGCTAAACCAGATATAAATGAAAGCTAAGTCAGTTGCCGGATGGGTTTTTGCGATGGTGAGGCTAAGTCCACTTAGCTCACTTAGGGATCGGGCTGGTCATAGCAAATTCATGGTTTTGGGCGAGTACGAGTGGATCGCTTTTATTGTTATTTTCTATTTCAGGGCTTCGCAGAGTGCGAATTGCAAGAAAATTGAGCAAGCACGTTGGGGGCATGATTTGTAATTTTGAAGTTTTTGGGATGGTCTTTCAGCCAGAATTTTTTTGTTTTTCCTTTAGCTGACTTTCTGGAGAAACAGCATTTCACATGGAACGAAAGCAGAAACCAACAAGAATCTTCAAAGAAAACATGCACACCTTCCCCCCCCCAAAGCTCTTCCTTTCCTCCTGCCTCGGCTGCTGGGCCGCCTGCAGCTGCCTGTGTGGGTGCAGGCGGGCTCCTTTTTTCCAAGGGTTTTGGGGCGGGTCGTGGTTTGGTCGGAAGTTAGGCTGGGGTCGTGTTTGTTTCTTTTTGCTGCAGTTCACACACATAGCAACATGCATCACCATCAACATAAGTATGTTTGGTGCAGGTGGGAATTTAGAGTTATACACATATCTGAATAAACGCCACATATCTATATATCTGTTCATGTATACACATATGTGTATGTATGTGCGTATATATACATATATATATATACACACACGTGCAGATGTATATATGCACACAAACATACATGCATAGACATTGTACAGACCTATATACAGGCATACGAAGACACACAATTTAAAAGACTTGTGCATGTGTATGTGTTTATGTGTACACACATGCACACATATCTCTGTGTTTTGTGGGTTTGGCTGACACAGGCATGGTGTTGCAGGGCTGTGGGTTCAAGGAATTTCGGAGTGTATTATATAGTCCTTTTTGGTTCCCTTCTCGGTGGCTGGATTGTGAAAGGCTGTGCTCTTTGTGTGTATATATATACACAGGACCCTTGGTTTAAGTTTATACTTGTGTGATACGTTTTTGTCGGCTCTCTGCTTTTGTTGGCTCTTTTGGCTTCGGAACAACGGATTGGGACTCTTTTTCAACGTATCGTCCACTATATATGTCATGCCCACAGGCATGCATGACTTCGCAGGGTTAAACTCGCGAAGTTGAGTCAGCAGGGCAAGGCTCGCAGACTCTGATCCACGTCCCCACGACCTTTCCAATTGTGGCCATGTCGTTGTCGGAAGCACAGCGGCTGATGATCAGTGCTTACTTGCACTCGGCAGAGCAAGGCAAACTCGTCCAGGCGGTGGATGCTTTACACGATTACCTACTCCAGGAGGGCCTTGCCTGGAGACAGGTGCTGCGATGCGATTGCATTGGTGTGCACGAAGAGAACCGTGATGGTTTAGGGCTTTCAGCGGGACATGTTTCTGACCTTGTGTCGAACATCTCCAGCATCGGATTCTCGGCGGCCGAGTTTCGAGGAGTGGCTATCGAAATTCCACCAACCGCAGAAGGGGAGGCACTTCGAAGCTTCAACCGCAAGGTCACCGAGGAGAGCAATGGGAGACTGGCTCCTGCAAGCAACATCCGATTTGCATCCATCGTAGGATCGCACGCCAACCAGGCGGCGAGATGCTTCTGGTTTCAAGTTCCCCATACCGATGACAAGCTCACTGTGGACAACCGGCTTTCGCTCGAAAAGTTGAAGACCGTGGATGCCGGTTGGCATCGTGCCATCCAGGAGGGCATGCAATGGTTGATCATCTCGCATGCGGTGCCTGCTGCGTTCCCGCAGTACACCTCCCTCGCACAAGCTGCGGGGAACTCTGCGATGCAGATTGCATCGGCAGAGGGTGAGATGCAGCTGGCACGTAAGGTCAACACCGCTATAGCCAGCTTCCTCAAGCGGACCTCGAAAACGACCGTGGAATATGCGGATATCTCTGCGGAGATCCTCCGCAGCAAACCGCCCCATGCGGCATCCTTACCGCACATTTTCTCGTTCGTTCTCAAGTGCGGCGGGGGCTCCGGCGAGGGGAGCTACCTGTCGCGAACGGAACGGTTCGTGCGAGGACACGGGGTGTCCAATCGGTCGCTGGGTGCCGAGGTCTGGCAGGCCTTGAGCGCCGACTGCAAGGGTCCCAACCAACACGTGCTTTTCCGGCACATGCTGCTCAAATTGGGCTTGTGCGGAGCGACAGACAAGAGCCTGACGGTGACGGACGTCAAGAGGTCGCTCACGGCCAAAGACGTCATGGCGAGGATGGGCGAGGCAGAGACCGTGTTCTTGGAGCTTCAGAAGCTTCTGCAGGGACAGAATGCTGAGAGTGCTGAGGCGGCACTGGGGTTGTGCGAAATCCAGATGGCAGCTGTGGTTTTGCAGAAGAAGAAGCTGACCCAGTTTGACACGATTCACCAGTCGGCGGAGAAGTGCCTCGGCGATTTCGGCATTGCGAGCCCATGGACTGCAGCCAGTCAGGTCCCAGCGACATCGTCTTCAGCAAGCACAGCTGCTCGTGGTTCGTAGCTCGATGTTTGAAAGCAGCCCTGCCATCTGACCTTCTAGATATAAAAGCATATGTCAAACTCAAACCCCAAACGTTTTCATATCCACACACACACCACACTGATTTTGTTTCACTTTCGGTATATTTATAGAAATACATACTTCTTTTATAAATCTATTTATATATATGCATTGTCATTGTTATTTACATATAAAAAAATACATATATCCCGAAAGTGAAACAAAATCAGTGTGGTGTGTGGCATGCTTGTCTCCGTTTAGCGAGTTTGGGGTATCTGTGGTCGCTTCGGCGCTTTTCCGATTGAAAGCTTGCTGTGTATATTTCTGTCGTGTTGAGGAGTCTCCGCATGTTCAATGAGCAGGGTGGCCTCGTAACCAGCTCACGTGTTTCCGATCTTGGATTTGCTGTGGGAATGAAGGTTGTCCGCAAGGCGGATGATCAAGAAGGTACCATCATGGAGATGTCGGCCGACAAGGTCCGCTTGAAGCTCAGCGACGGGAAGCTTTACGAAGCTTCCTCCGAGTCCTTCGTTCAAGGCCGCTGGAAGGAGTATGTTGTCAAGCCGGAGCCAGTCCTGTGCAAAGATTGGCTGAATTTCTCCCCCCCCAAAAGTGAGGAGTTCATTATTGCTGTCGTGAAAGGTCTCGTTTTCCAATCGATGTGGCATCAGTACGAGAACTTGAAGAACGAGAAGTTCGATGTCTTCTTGAAGCCGTCAAAGGATGTCCAAGTCAAGTCCACTTACAACGTTCACTCATTGAAGCTAGCCATTGCCAGCCCTCGTGTCGATTGTCGTTTGGTCAATGAGACTCTCCCTCCCGGAGCACTTCAGGTCGGCTTGTTTGCAACAGCCGGCAGCAAGCCAACTCACACGATTTCCGTCCTGCCGACCTTTCAGGCGCCGAAAGCCGGCTCGGGCTTTATCAACCCGCTGTGGCTCATCAAGTCTACCTCAGATCGCGAGGAAGGCAATCTAGAAATCGTCGGGGCCAACAAGCAGCAGAAGCTCACTTGCTTGTCAACCTCAGTCAATCTTCCAATGGTCCGGAATTACAAAAAACTCCAGGCGGCCGATAGCCTGGTCCTGTTCAGGCCTGACCAGCACAAGGCAGAGGAGATTGAAAATCTCCAGCCCGTGCAGAAGAAGGCGAGGAAGTAAGCATGCGGCGAGCATGCCTTCGAAGCCCAAATTTTGATGATGCACTTATTGGGCAACTAGCTCCCCAGCATGGCCTGAGATTGTATTGTGTATAGTTTAGAAGACTGCAGCAACTCGCCATAAAGTATAGGATAAACGAGTTCTGGCCACATTGCTGATCGTCATGAGGGGTCGCTTCCACGAACATAATGCGGGAGAAGCTGCTCCAGCTTCTGCGAAACACAGGTCAGGTCGCACACCATGCAAAAGAAGGATGTGCAGCTGCATGGTCTGTGCTGTGCATGGCATGCATGATGAAGTCTCGCACTTTTCCGGCTAGCTTCATGATGTGCATGCTGGTGCATTTACCGGCTGCTCTTTAGCTTTCGGAGTCAGCAGGGCATGCTCGCTGACTAGGGTTGCAGGGCCTCGCTCGCACCCGCTTGCTCAAATGTCGGGGGAGGAGAATGCCGAGGAGCTCGAAGAACAGGACGAGCAACCTTTGAAGATCTACACGGCCACGTGCATAAGCGGAGGTGGCCTGAAAGGTGTATGGATGCCCACCATCGAGGAGGCATCCGGTCTGACTTTCATCAAGCTGAACAAATGGGACCGTCAGTTAACCCAATATGTTACAGGAAAGTCCCTCAATCTTTTTTCGGGATCGAAGAAGCCCAAGAACTCTATCAACGTCCAGTGGTTTCAGACGATGACCGAGCTTCGCCGTCAAGCCTGTAACGACTCTCTGAAAAAGCTCATCGTGCAGGCTGCGGAAGCATCGGGCGGCAAGGTGCCCGAAAAAATCCGCCCAGCAACACAGGCCGACGAGTTCCTGGCAGGTCGCTTTGTCACTGTGCAGGCTCCTCCGTATAAGGACCCAGAGAACCCGGATGCCGAGGAGGTGGATGGTCCCCAGCTGAAGCTTCTGTGGAAGCTGAAGACACCGGACGTTTGGATGGAGCTGACTTTCGAGAATCTGGAATATGCCAAGAAGGCCATCCTTGGATCGCCGGCATGGGAGCAGCCCGTCAGTGCCCGGGCCAAGCACAGCCCCAGAAAGCGGCGAAGGCGAGGCCCGAAACCACGTGGTCATGATGAACTCGGTGAAGAACCGTTGAAAGATGACGGTGGCGAGGCGGCTTTGCAGAATGCACCGAACGACGAGGAGGAGGACGAGGAGTGATGCTTGTGTTTCCTGTACTTGTGTTCCCAGGATGACATTACATGATTGCAGGGTTTTATCGGCATCTCGGGCTCATGTACAAGCTTTATGAACGTTTTATACACACAGGTGTTTTTCGCTATGTCAGGGTTGATAGAGATCGTGCATCTACATGTATATATATATATATATAAATATACATATATAAATA